CTAGAAATTGTTGGGAAAATGCATTTTTTATAGCCTATCATTCTTTTGATATTTCTTTCAGAAGACATAATTTATGAGCTATAACTTGTATTTGGGGCTTTGGACAAGTATGAAAGAAAGGAAGAAGCCACCTGTTGAAGATATGACTAAAAGGGGTGTATTTATTATATATTTGATTTAACAACCAACAGTATCAGAGTGGAGAGGAACGGAATCTTTTATTGAGGACATAAACGTTCATTCCATAAGGATTTAGTCATTGATCACCTTGAAATAAGAATGTATTATTCACAGTGAGGGCACTGATAAACTTCAAGTTTTTAAAAAATTTATCCCATAAAATGTTCATCAGGAGTACTACTAATTGGTGGAAATAAATCTTTTTATTTTTATTTATTTATTTTAAAGATTTTATTTATTTATTTGACAGAGAGAGACAGGGAGAGAGGGAACACAAGCAGGGGGAGTGGGAGAGGGAGAAGCAGGATTCCTGCGGAGCAGGGCGCCCGATGCGGGACTCGATTCCAGGACCCTGGGATCATGACCCCAGCCGAAGGCAGACGCCTAATGAATGATCCACCCAGGTGCCCTGAAATAAATCTTTTTAAAAATCAATTTGAGGGGCCCCTGGATGGCTCAGTCGGTTAAGCGGCTGCCATCAGCTCAGGTCATGGGATCAAGTCCCGGATCGGGCTCCTTGCTCAGCGGGGATCCTGCTTCTCCTTTTGCTTGCCGCTCCCCCTGCTTATGCTAGCTCTCTCCTCCCCCTTCTCTGTGTCAAATAAATAAATAAAATCTTTTAAAAAAATAAAAATCAATTTGCCAGTTATTGTATTAGCTTTTGGGTAAAAACATAAATATGTGTATCAGTTATCTGTTGCTATAATAACATCACAAGACTTAATGGCTTAAAACAACAACTCTTGTTTCTCATGAGGCAATTCTGATGATCTAGTCTAGACTCAGCTGATGCCACCCAGGTTCACTTGAGTGGGTACTACTTGTCTGTTCTCTATGTGGTCTCTCATCCTTAAGAGGCTTGCTGGCTTGTTCTTCTGCTGATGTAAGATTCAGAGAATGGAACTGTTCAAGGCCTCTCAAACACATGTTGAAAACTAGAACATAACTTCCATTGGGTTCTTTTGGCCAAAGCAATTCACAAGGCCAACACACATTAATAGGTGGGTAAGTAGATTCTATCTCAGAGAAGGAAGTCAAAGAGAAGGCTTACATATCTGGGTAGGTCACTCAGCAGCAAGATGGGAAGTCTCTGGATCAGAGAGTTCTGATCTGTAGTGGGTTGGGGGTCTTTTACAGCCCTAAGGTTTATCTTATGTATGGCTAGCAGATGTTGGTTGCAGTTTTGTGTGATATGCAAAGCAGACAGTCTCTAAATGGCTGAAACTATACTTTTTTTGGGAGATATTTAAAACAATTGGATGTCTAAGAATTTTGAGTTTGGAGCCAGCAGGCTTTCAAGTGTTAGCCTAATGTAAGAAGTAAACAACATAGGGGCCAATATGCAAGAATCATCTTTGGTGGGGTGCCCGGGTGGCTCAGATGGTTAAGCGTCTGCCTTCAGCTCAGGTCATGATCGTGGGGTCCTGGGATCGAGCCCCACATCGGGCTCCCTGCTTGGCGGGGAGCCTGCCTCTCCCTCTCCCTCTACTGTTCCCCCTGCTTGTGCTCTCTCACTCTCTCTGTCAAAAAAAGATTCATCTTTGGTTCATTTCTATAACTATGTTAAACATACTTTACCATTTTTAGCATCCCTCCTTTTATATAGTGAAGAAGAAAATCTTTGGTGTGGTCTTGAAGCCATCTGGTACACCCAAAAGATAGGTTAAAATGTATCATAATAGTTTGTTTTTAAGTTTGGGGTTTGAACTTGGAGAAAACGATATTGGAAAGAATTGTTAGAGGAACCAAAAGTCATAGGTGCCTTTAGAGTATAAAAAAATGTAACACAGCCACAGTAACATTAGATATTAGGAATACCAGATTTTGCAAGAAGTAGATTAGAAAGAAAACAAAAAGATAATTATGATAAATGGAATATTTTTGTGACATAAGTAACTTTTGTTGTCCAGGAAAGCTATATTGAAGGCATGAAATGATTTTTCCTTTGTTAAATTAAGAGCAGACTGTAGACTCAAAACTCGGTCTGTCAATGTAACAGAAAGTAAATCAAATTCTAATCTTACTCTTTCTGTATACCACTTAAATAACATTTTGTAGTCAAGGATTCATGAGCATTTCTCTATTTTATGATCAAGCTCATCAAAATTGACTTAACTTGGTCAAAATTTGATGTATTTTATAGCTTCTTTTCAAATCCATTATTTGTAAATATAATTCACTTTACATCAAGCCTTCTATAAATTATTCTTCAACCTCAAATTTCCCTTTCCATTATTTTTAGCATTCCGGTTATTTAGAGATGTACTAATGATCAGAGTCCATATGTCTAAGGCCTAAGATAAAACATTTTTCTTTTTTAATTTTTAAAAAATTTTTATTTATTTATTTATTTGACAGAGAGAGAGAGAGATAGCAAGAGCAGGAACACAAGCAGGGGGAGTGGGAGAGGGAGAGGGAGAAGCAGGCTTCTGGGGAGCAGGGAGCCTGACACAGGACTCGATCCCAGGAAGCTGGGATCATGACCTGAGCCAAAGGAGGACGCTTAACAACTGAGCCACCCAGGCACCCCAAAACTTTTTTCTTTTTAAGTTGATAAAAAAACAGACAATACACATCCATCCTTTTATAAACATGTTTGCATTTCTTCATAATTCTTTTACTTAATATAGTTCTAATCACTCATATTAACTATAGCTTTTAACCAAAATAATTTCAGTTCTCTCTCTCTCTCTCTCTCACACACACACACACACACTTTTCACTTTTCACACACTTTGACTAAGAACTCTGGGACATTCGAGGCAACTTAAGAGACCGACAGAGCTCTTGTGCTTCAACAATCTACGACACACATCACTTTACAATCACACATAGCTCTTTAAGATTTATTTCCCTCTTCTTGTTAGAGCATGGAACTTAGGGTATAAACTTCGCTCACTTGGGTATTTCTGTAACACTTCTCTTATTTCTTCTGAGAAAAAGCCGGGAACTCAGAATTCATTAGATTTCACTATACATCTTGAAACTCTGGACAGTCAGAAGTAATGATTAACATTTTATCTTCAGTACCAGTTTATTTCAGACATCGAGGCCCATTCATAGAAATTGTTGTAGTAACCAAACAAAAATCCTCTTAGAAGGCAGAGCTCTCTTCTAAGCTATTCAAAATCAATTTTAATTTAAACAAACAAATTGAAAAATTTGCTTCATTTTCTTTGCCTTTTCTGGTAGCTTTGTCTAAATGGGATATTTCTCCAGAACACAAAATGATATATAGTTTTGACTCAATCTAAAAAAGTTTTCTCGAGAGAATGAAAGAACCAGCCATAGATACAAAAGAGCTACAGTTACGAGAACATTGTACAAGGCTAACCTTTCCTTTGCAAGGAGAGTAAGGACTTTTTTTTTTTCATTTATACACACAAGCACAAAGAGAATGAACAGCCTTAATTCTACAACTTTAACTATAGTTTAAAAATGAATATGGAACACAGTTTTCTGTGCCTGAGCAAATTTCACTCCTCAGTTGTGGTAACTTGGGAGTAGGAATGTCAGGGAATCAAAAAAGATCCCTAAGGAATACTTGTTATGAAAGTCTCTTGATATGGAGCTGATTTTCATTCTAGTGGGAACAAAATTGTCTCAAATATTTTTAGCTATACTGGTGTTCAAACAACATGTAATACAAGGCATATCATAAACTTCAAGACTCATAGTAAAGACAAATGAAAAAGACTGAGCTGGGATTCCCTGTCATCTATCATCTACCACCGAACAGAGGCTAGATGGCTGGGTGAAATAATCCAAATCAGACTCCCAACATTTCAGTCACCAAGGAAAGAAAAATAATGTCTGTTGTACAAAGTAGAACAGGACTCCTCAAGAACCAGCCTACTGCAGACATCAAAATAAACTCAGAGGGAAAAATAATGCAGAAACAGAGTCATGATACTCACTCTGAGAATCAAGAAAGTTGGGCCTGGGTTCCAGAGATCTATATGCAGTCACTTTTTAGGGCAAGACTCAGTTCTGGTATGTGAATTGATCTGGGCATCTCCTTGGAATTTCAGCTGTGAAACCTGTAGAAACAAAAGCAATTACCAAGAAAAAAAGGATTTTTGTATGCTAAAAGTTGCAAGGAAACTTGCCTTTGAACTTTGGATGACTTAGAAAAAACTGACTACCATATAAAAAATACAACATATATAAATGAAAAAAGTAGATACAAGATTACCAAGATTACAGTCTGTCTGTCTATAGAAGAAAGTCTGTAGTATTCCCACATATTTATCATCACTGCAAGGGCCTTCCACATCAGTATGTCAGGGCTTGTCATGGTTTCCATTATGGTCGCTTGCTCCTGTGATCCTGTAGTCCATGACCTTAACAACACACTACTATGCCTTTCGATTGAAAGCCTTTGGAAAATAAAATCACTTTTCAGATGATTGGTAAGCAGAATATCAGTGCCAAATAATTTTGTAGTCTTTAGTTTAAATAGCTTCTGGGATAAGAAAGTTATTTTGACTAACTTGCTCTGTCATATGAAAATATTTTGTTCCTTAAATATTATATATTGCTCTTTTGAATAGTTATGGATAAGCTTTGACAAATTTGCTTTCTTTTGGATTTCCTTTCTTCACAAGGTTCATTTTATATATGTTATATAGATTCTGGCATAGTCAAACTTCTTTGGAGAATCCTATTGACATGTTCAGGTGATGTATATGAAATCTATGTACAAATTATAATATATTTCCTATTTTAACACATTTATGATTGAAATGAATTTAAGACTTTTCAGAAGTGATTATTTTTGTTATTAACTATAATAAGAAAGTTTTATATTTTATTTTTAGGCTAAAGTCTATTCTAAGTAAAAGTGGTAAACTTGACAATAAAGTTAAAAGAATTGGACCACACATAGAAATCTTCCAAGTGTTCCGGGAAAGGACCAAATTTGTAAATACCAAAAAAGTAGTTAGAATGATCATCATCATACAGGCCTATGTCAGAGGATGGCTTGAACGCAAAAGATTGCAGAGAATAATGATCAAGGTAAAGCATGTGTTAAATATAATGTGTATAAATTTTCCTTTGTAGATTTTAAATTAATCGAGTTTTGAATAGTCACCTGGTCAATGTATCTATGATTTTTCTAAATAAAATTCTGACTGCATTCTTTTCATTGAGAAAATGTTATGAATTATCTACTCTGCTGACAGTTTCAGATTTGGTCAAACTGGAGAATCTGAACAAAAGGGCTGGTTTATCTTTATTAACCCAATAGTTCTGGGACCACTTTTATTCTAAGGCCAGGATCACCTGTCCTTGCACTAATTTTGTTTCACCTTTTTTGCTGCTTATTGTCCATATAAAGCAACTTTCTTCCACTTCCCACACCCCTGGATACTCTTGTACAGCATAAACATTCAACTCAAAAAGAACTATAGACACACACACACACACACACACACACACACACACACCCCTGAGCAACTTGCATAAGCAACAGTCTTGAGTTTCAAAATAAATATCTAGGATCTATTTTGTCTGGCAACCATTAATTTATTCTTTGTATCTGTGAGTATGTTTATGCTTTGTTTTGTTGGTTCATTGTTTTGTTGTAGATTCCACGTGTAAGTGAAATCATACAATATTTGTCTTTCTCTGCCTGACTTACTTCACTTAGCACAATACCCTCTAGATCCATCCATGTTAAAAATGGCAAGATCTCATTTCTTTTTATGGCTGAATAATATTCCATTGTATGTATGTATGTATGTATGTATCAACATCTATCTATCATCTATCATCACCTATTTATCATCTGTCTATCATCTGTCGATCTATCATCACATCTTTATCCCCTCATCTGTTGATGGACATTTAGGTGGCTTCCCTATCTTGGCTATTGTAAATAATGCTACATTGAATATAAAGGTGCATATATCTTTTAAGAATTAGTGTTTTAATTTTCTTTGATAAATACCAAGAGTAGAATTGATGAATTGTATGGTAGTTCTGTTTTTAATTTTTTGAGGAACATCCACACTATTTTCTGTAGCAATTGTACCAATTTACATTCCTACCGATAATACTGAAGGGTTCTCCTTTCTCCACATCCTCACCAATACTTGTTATTCCTTATCTTTTTGATAGTGGCCATTCTGACAGGTGTGAGGTGATATCTTATTGTGGTTTTGATTTGCATTTCCCTGATGGTTAGTAATATTGAGCATCTTTTCATGTGTCTGTTGGCCATCTGTATGTCTTCTTTGGAGAAACATTTATTCAGGTATACTATGCCCATATTTTAATTGGATTTTTTTGATACTGAGTTGTATGAGTTCTTTACATATTTTGAATGTTAACTCCTTACCTGATATGTCATTTGCAAATAATTTCTGCCATTCATTAGGATTTTCTTTTTCATTTTGTTGATGGTTTCCTTTTGCTGTGCAACAGCTTTTTAGTTCGAGGTAGTCTCATCTGTTTATTTTTGCTCTTGTTGGCCTTGCCTGAGGAGAAATATCTAAAAAAGTACTGCTAAGACCAATGTTCAAGAGCTACCTAAGTTTTCTCCTAGAAGCTTTATATTTTCAGTTCTCATTTAAGCCATTAATACATTTTGAGTTTATTTTTGTTTTTGGTGTAAGAAAGTGAACCAGTTTCATTCTTGTAGCTGTCCAGTTTTAACAACATCATTTATTGAAGAAACTGTCTTTTCATCATTGTATATTCTTACCTCTGTTATCACAGATTACTTGACTTTATAAGTGTGGGGTTTTTTCTGGGCTGTCTATTCTCTTCCATTGATTTATGTGTTTTCATCGCTATAGCTTTGTAGCATAGTTTGACATCCTGGAGCATGAAACTTCCAGCTTTGTTCTTTTTCAAGATTGTTTTGGTTGTTTGGAGTTGTTTTGGTTCCATACAAATTTTAGGATTATTCTAGTTCTGTGAAAAATGCTACTGGTATTTTGATAGGGATTGTAATGGATTTGTACATTACTAAGGGTAGTATGGACATCTTAATAATATTAATTCTTCCAATCCATGAACATAGTATGTTTTTTTCATTTATTCCTGTCATCTTCAGTTTCTTTCATCAGTGTCTTATAGTTTTCAAAGTACAGTTCTTTCATCTCTTTGGTTAAATTTATTTCTAAGTATTTTATTCTTTTGGATGCACTAGTAAATAAGATTGTTTTCTTAATTTCTCTTTCTGATAGCTTGTTATTACCATAAAGAAACATAATATATTTCTATATGTTGATTTTGCAGCCTATAACTTTACTGAATTCATTCATTAAACCTAGTAGTATTTTGGTGGAGTCTATGGGTTTTTTTTATATACAGTATATCATCTGCAAATAGTGATGACTTTACTTCTTCTTTTCCAATTTGGAAGCCTTTTATTTCCTTTTCTTTTTTTCTTAATTGCTGTGTCTAGGACTTCCCATGTAATGTTGAATAAAAGTGGTGAGAGTGGGCATCTTTGTTTTGTTCCTGATCTTAGAGGAAAAGCTTTTAGCTTTTCATTGTTGAGTATGATGTTAGCTCTAAGTTTGTTATATATGACCTTTTTATTAGTTGAGGTGTGGTCCCTCTATACCCATTTTATTGAGAGTTTTTATCAAAAATGAATGTTGAATTCCATCAAATGCTTCTTCTACATCTACTGAAATGATCATATGATTTTTATCCTTCATTTTGTTAATGTGGTGCATCAGGTTGGTTGATTTATGGGCGTTGAAACATTCTTGCATCCCCTGGAATAAATTTCACTTGAGCATGGTATGTGATCATCTTAATGTATTGTTGAATTCAGTTTGCTAATATTTAGTTGTGGATTTTGGTGTCTGTGTTTATCAGGGACACTGGCCAGTGATTTTCTTTTCTTTTCTTTCTTTTTTTTTAATTTAATTTTATTATGTTATGTTAATCACCATACATTACATCATTAGTTTTTGATGTAGTGTTCCATGATTCATTGTTTGCGTATAACACCCAGTGCTCCATTCAATACGTGCCCTCTTTAATACCCATCACCAGGCTAACCCATCCCCCCAACCCCCTCCCCTCTAGAACCCTGTTTGTTTTATTGATATTTATCATCTATTTTTCTACCAACTGGATTCTTTAATATCAGACAACTATATAACAAAACCAGTAAGTAAGTGGGCATATCATATAAATGGTTGATGGATATCTAAAAACTAATTTAAAAAAACTATGTGAAAACAAGCATGAATTTAGAGTCAGAATTCTGAATCTTGGAAAATATTTGTTGAAAAGGTTAAAAATAACATATAAAGTTTCTAACATGGTGCTTAGCACAATGTGCACAAATAAATGATAAACATTTTAATATACTAATGATAATAAAAAAATTGCCATATTCGATTTTCTTTTCTTTCTTTTTTTTTTGTGATGTTCTTCTCTGGCTTTGGTATCAGGGTAGTCCTGGCCTCATAAAATGAGTTTGGAAGTGTTCATTCTTTCAATTTTTTGGAAGAGTTTGAGAAGTATAGGTATTAAATCTGCAATAATGGTAGGGGACTTTAACACCACACTTATGTCAATGGATAAATTATCCATATGGAAACTAATAGTGATACCTCAGCCTTAAATGACAGATTAGATGGTTTGAATAGCTTTATGCAGAACATCCCATCCAAAAGCAGCAAAACATACATTTTTCTTAAGTGCACACACAACATTCTACAGGATAGAGCACATGTTAGGCCACAAAACAAGTCACATTACATTTAAGAAGATTGAAATCATATCAAGCATGACCATTGAATGGTATGACACTAGAAATCAATTACAAGAAGAAAAGTAGAAAAATCACAAATATGTGGAGATTAAACAACAGGCTACTAAACAACCATTGGGCCAACAAAAGAATCAAAGGAGAAATTTTAAAAATACCAAGAGACTAATGGAAATGAAAATGTGATATATCAAAATCTATGGTATGCAGCAAAAGTAATTCTAAGGAGTAATTCATAGTAGTACAGGCCTACCTCAAAAAAAAAAAAAAAACCAAACAAGAAAAATCTCAAACTGTTTAATTTTGCACTTAAAGGAACTAAAAGAAGAAATGAAACCCAAAGTTAGAAGAAGGAAGGAAATAATAAAGATCAGAGCAGAAATAAGTGAAATAGATACTAAAAAGATGGCTGAAGCTCTAGGACAAGTAAGTGTACCTTCTTTACAGGAAGACTGGGGGTGTGTTTCAGTCTGCTGATTGTGGTAGTCTGGGGGTGCCAAGAGCTGTCTTTTTAATTGCAGTACTGTGCAGCCCAGGAACGTCAACCCCCTTGGCCACTAGAGCCAGGCAACCAAGGGGCATCCCCTTGGTTGCCTGGCTCTAGTGGCCAAGGCTCTGACTTTAGTAAAGCAGGTGAAGAGTATAGGGAGCAGGGCACACTCATTGGTTTCAGCAGAGCTGTGGGAAAACGCTTTGGTTGCATGTGCCTGTGGGCTTTAGAGGGGCAGTAGGAGAGTGCTTTGTTTGTGTGTACCTGCTAGGTTTAGCAAGAGACTGGGAGAATGTCATGGTCACTGGCACTTGCTGGCCCCAGCCAGGGAGTGGAGCAGTAAGTACTGCAAACCCCCATGCTCACAAGCTTTAGCAAGGGACTGGGAGAATGTTGTGACTGCTCACACTCATGGGCCCCACCCAGTGCCACCACCGTCCACCCCCACCAGCCTTAGCAAGGCAGCAGGATGGCACTAAATCTGACATACCTGCCTGTGTTAGGTTGGGGGAGAGTGCAAAATGGCATCTGCCAGTGTGTCCATCTCTGAAGAGAGTCCCAGCCATCCCCTGACCCTTGCCTTAAGATTAGCAAGTGAATTCCCTTCACATATAGTCTAGGTGCTTTCCAAACTGTGACTTTTGTACTGGGTCCTGGGATGAGTGAGACTAGGTAAGCCTTTTAAGAGGAGAATCTCAGTTCCCTACAACCCTTTGTGTCTCTTGATGGGTTGGTTTTCCTACCCATCTTGAGATGGTCCTTTTATCCTTTGTTGTAGAGGAACAC